TTTTTTTTTTTTTTTTGCTTTTTTTTTTAAGTTTCAGAAGTTTAGAACTGTTTTCTTATCTTTTTCTTTTTCCTTTTTTTTTTTTTTTTAAATTATGGGACAGGGTCTTGCTTTGGCATCTAGGCTTGAAGTACAATGGGCATGATCATAGCTCACTGTGACCTCCAACTCCTAGGCCTAAGTGATCCTCCTGCATCAGCCTACCAAGTAGCTAGGACTCCAGGTATATGCCACTATGCCCAGCTAATTTTTTTATAGAGACAGGGTCTTGCTTTGTTGCCCAGGTTAATCTCAAATACCTATATCTTCAAGAGATCCTCCCATTTTGGCCTCCCCAAAATGCTAGGATTATAGGTGTGAACCACCGTCCCCAGCCTGAAACTTTCTTTTTTATGGCAGTAGGCTTGTCCATTCCTAATCTGTTATTTCTCTTTTTAAAAACTAAAGTTTTAAGAATACAGAAAGAATGCAGAACTTTTTTAATTTTTTTCAATCACAAATAGGACTCTGTAGCCAGGGATGGTGGCTCACACCTGTAATCCTAGCACTGGAGAGGCTGAGGTGGGTGGATTGCTTGAGCTCAGGAGATCAAGACCATCCTGAGCAAGAGTGAGACCTCATCTCTAAAACTAACCAGGTGTTATGGCAGACACCTGTACACCAAACTACTCAGGAGGCTGAGGCAAGAGAATTGCTTAAGCTTAAAAGTTTGAGGTTGCTGTGAGCTGTGATACCATAGTACTCTAATGAGGGTGATGAAGTGAGACTCTGTCTCAGAAAAAACCCAAATAAGACTCTTCATTTGTCATTATTAAAAGCCTGAATTTTAAACAGATTCTTCGAATGGTGGTTCATATCCATCAGCTCATTCAATTTTCGCACCTGTCTTGCCCCCAGTAGCTTTTCCAGAACTATTACCTTCACCATGAAGCTCCATGAGTTTTCCCAATTCAAATTTGGGCTTCTTTAGCATGTTTACTTTCTTTCTTTTTTTTTTTTTTTCAGATGGAGTCTTACTTTGTTGCCCTCCGTAGAGTGCTGTTGCATCACAGCTCACAGCAACCTCAAACTCTTGGGCTTAAGCGATTCTCTTGCCTCAGCCTCCCAAGTAGCTGGGACTACAGGCACCAGTCACAACGCCCGGCTGTATTTTTTTTGTTGCAGTTGTCATTGTTGTTTAGCTGGCCTGGGCTGATTCGAATCTGCCAGCCTGGGTGTATGTGGCTGGTGCCCTGCCCACTGAGCTACGGGCACTGCCCAGCATTTTTACTTTCTAATGTAGACATGAAGGGGATAAATAGATTGGAAAGCCTTTTCCAATACTGCCTGGAATCAATATTGACTACTTCTTCTAAGTCATTTGTCTGCCTTCTCTGGTCATTCTTTCTTTCTTTCTTCCTTTTTTTTTTTTTT